CTGATTTTCGTAGTCCACGGAGGCCTTCGCATTTGTGTTTGGCTTCGACTGTTGCTTCAGCATTTTCGTATTGTTCATGAATATCGTTGAATGCTTGACGATTCGATCCTTCCAAGGATAATAAGATAGTCGTACTAGATCATTCCTAGGTCTTCTGAATCACCTTTCGAGAAAAGTTTTGTACTAATTTCATGACCCTGGAGGGACGGTAGGCTCGGTCGGCGTGGGATTGGATGAGGCTTCGTGCGTACTTGAAATCACCAGTGCCAGCTTTAGCTGCCCTCGGATATACACTCGATGTCAACCTGTAGTTTATACATCCAAACAATTTTGGAAACGCCATAAAACGAACAAATCGGGTAACTTGATCGGTAGGTTACCTAGCATTAATCAGTCTTATTGAGGTTCATTCACACATTTGTACACAGTTTAAAGATTCGAAGAGCATCTAATGTTCACTCCTTTTTCAGCGACCCGCTAATCCACAAGCTGAGTGGGTGTTTCATTCTCCGCAACAAGTATGCTATGACCTCATTTGCGGTGGGAAATAGAAGGCTTTCATTTAAACCAACAATTGAGCGCATGAAATCGAGTTGTTCTTCATTCTACTTTACAATGGACGTCAATTTTCACGAATAAAATCAATGGCCAGTTCCCTCAGCGTGAGCACAGAGTTCCGTAGTCATTGGTCCATCGAATTCAATGCAACGGTTGACCTCATATCTGTCAATGCCGAGCGAGCCTCATCGATCCCGCAATTATCAGCGGCTTTTTGTGGGTTCAACAATGACATTGTACGCGAATTCCGTTCAACACCAAGGTCAATAGTAGAGATACATAGACTGATTAACGGTGGTTGTGTTGCTTTCGGAGTATTGCAGAAGGGCATAGGCGGGAACACTACCACAGCAAGATTTCCTCATCGGCTTAGAGGCGATAAGACCAGCAAAGTTATATCATTACAGCTTTGTATGGTTCAAAGGGTGTTCGATTTGCTCTATTTAATGTTCTTTGTCAGACAAACTCGAGTGTCAGCTCTTGAACATTTTTCATGTTCTATAATGTACAATGTGAAAAATTATAGACGTTTGAAGAAAAAAAGGTTTTAACACCGATTGCGTGAGAGATTGCGCGATGAAGGGCGCGTGTGTCGCAGTGGTAGGAGGCGCTCTGCAATACACATGGGAAATCGATCCCCACACTCATGGCTCGCCAAGCCTTCCATTCCTCCGAGGTCAGAAAATTGCTACCAGACTTGTCTGGGAGGATAGCAGCACTGGCTTGATAAATCGGTAGGCCACCGCGAGTGATTGTAAAGGCCAGGTATGCATGCACTCACCTCCAACGATGCTTAATGAAGTCGAGTGCATGGCACATCCCTCAGGGATTGATCAACGCCAAGAGCTTTATTAGCTTTTCTTTAACGCCAATTGTTACACATAGTATATGTGGTTACATAAATATGTAGAGTATCAAGCAACAATTAAAAGGGAATCGAAAACCAAACACGAAGTGTATAAGAAATTTGTTTAGAAGTTCCCAGAGATGTTTTTATTTAAAGAACAATTCGAAAACCTATTCATTTGGTAAACGTCACACAGTGTGGCGTATGCTACCTGGGAGAACAGTGTGAAAGCGGGTGTGGGCAAGAAAGAGTAAAGATGACTGCTTTTCAAACCTATGTGATCATATGAAAAAGTAAAGAATCAAATTCTTTGTTGTATCACAGACAATACCCTTTCGTGAAAAATTTTAGCAGGCAGTAAATAAAATGCTGACATTTTGATTTCAACTACAGCCTCAGCTTAACTGGGTTCATTGCCGATTTGGGCTCCCCAGAATAATCCCGCTGACGGGTGATTGCTGTAGGCACTGGTGGTTAGAACACTGGCCGAGACGGGCGAAACGAAGGACCCGCATAGTGGTCAACGCATTATCACCGGAAAGGGTAATAGCGTGTTCGTTCCTCACCGCAGACACCTGCGGTCAGGAGTATTGGAAATATCTCAGCATTATTGTAGATCAACTACGCATAATACCCTGCCATGAGGAATCGTGCTAGGCGGTAAATAAAAACTTGACAAAGTGAAGAATGTTTATTAACATATTGTGAACGGCATAAGCTTTATGTGACTCATTCGTGACCTGTGGTAATTCAGGCTTTTCAGCAAATGAGTTTCAGTCCGTTGTAACCTTTTTAAAGCACCAATCGATTGAACTTTATAATCGGCATCAGCAATACGCAGATGTTCTTACTCTACAGCGATGAAATATTGACCTTCTGGGCCACTAAAGAACGATGCTCATTCGTTCACTTTTTTAGTTTCCGAATGGGAAACAAATGAGAACAAAGGACCCGCATGATGTGGTGGTAAACGCGTTACTCCCTGGAAAGGACAATAGCGCGTTCGTTCCCCACCATAGACACCTGCGGTCCAGAGTTTTGCAAATATCTCAGCAACGTTGTGGTTGTATTTCGCTTAGTACCCTGCCGCGAAATTATAGTAGGCAGAAAATAAAAAAATGAGACTTCGCCCAGTAGAATACTTGACGGCCTCCTCGATATATCGCTGCTGTTTGGAACTACCAAGTACAAGAAATTTATTAGAATTCAGAGTGAGAATAAGATAGTTTCACACAGTTTTGGTGCGAAAGGGTAACGTTTCTCCTAGCGCTGTCTCAAGTCCTCAGTTCTTTAAGTACTTCAGTTACCAGAAAAACTAACGGCAGTTATCAAAAAGCCATTATCGGCTCGAATGCATTGAACCGTGATGCATAACTGACACAGTAATTCGGCAGTAGAGGTCTAGGAGTAGTTCTAAACTGAAAAAGTAGTTTGGAAATGTATATATACACTTACTTTTCAGAATAATGGAAATGAAGGCGCTAGAAAACGTTCAACGTTTAAAAGTGGTAAGAATGAAATGGTGCAAAGTAGATTCATGGTGAATTATTACATAAAGGCCGCATCACCAGAGCCTACATCCGAAATAAATTTTCGTAGCATCTTAGCCACGCCTGTCCTTAACCTACCGATGACAAACGGTCAATTTACAAATGTCCCAATGTTAAGGGTGTAAATTTAATGAGGCATCAGACGGTAGTTATTAGACCTGGAGCTCGACAGCTGAACTTGATTGTGAGTCCAGGTCACATTAGTCGGTATTTATGGATGCACAGAAACCGGTCATCACGAAGAATTTGATGTCCGGACAGCTAAGGCAGCTGTTCATTCGGCTGTTGCCGTCCGTCACATAGTCGACGTCAACCTGTCATTCGGGCCGAATAGGCGCACGATCGAAATTTGGATATCGTAACAAGTTTTTCTTGCTTCAGTGTCAGCGCATAGCGGAATAATTCCACAACTCGGCTCCACGAAGTCTTTCAACTTTAGCCTCTTCTCCTCGGCCCTTCGAATTTCCTTGTACAATCACAAAGTCACCGCCTAGATCCTTCGTTTGTGAACATACTTTGCCCACTTGTCCAATAAACAACAGAATAAGTGAAATTTGTTTAAAAAATTATCGCAATAATGTTACTTTTGAAGACGTTAGTAAAGTTAAGAATATTCCAGCAGCTTAGCTCACTTTTTAACTCTCTTATAGACCCGCACTTTCTTCTACATCTTTGCTTTAATCTCCCTTGTATTGAAACGAAATACATGCATGAAAATAATACCCTGGAAGTGGTCCTCGTCTAAATACTTTCTACTTTATCACCCAAAAGCTAAACGTTTTTATTTTGAAGGAACAAATCGTGCTAATATGTCGTCAGAGAAGGATCCGCAAAAATCTGTGCCAGGAAAAACTGAACAAGTCGCGATTGGAGTAAGAATAAGAGTAGTTTGGAGTAAAAGTTCGAATAGGCCATGCGAGCAGAGAATGAATGGAATTAATGCCACAGCGTGCCTACCGACTAATGCAGGAACTAGAACACCCTCATATTTCACATTATTCACGAAAAATGCACAGACTGTTTGGCTTAAGAGTCATCTTCTCAACTCTACGATTTTTCACAGAGGCTTTCTCAACCCTGAAAACTCTCCGCGTACTTTTTTCGGTACTTTTCGTTCTTTCATTGCTTAGAAATCACACCTTTTTTCAACAATCCTAGTGAATTCCTAGCACTGTCCTCTGGTCAGCTAGCCAACCAAGCCACCCATTCGCTCTGCTGGTCGCGCTTCGCCTCATAGCTCAGCAAAAGAGGACGACACTTTCACTGCTGAAATTATTGGAATCCTTCGTCCCATGACAACATTCTCTTTTCCTTAAGATCCGGAATGGAATAGTTTGGACAATTCAAACGGAGTGCAGTGGTCCAAATTATGAAAGAAATGGTGTTTCTCCCTCTTCCTCATTAGATGACATGCCTGCATGCCGATTACATTCTTCACCATATATTTGTATAGCGCTATTACTGAAGCTTGACTTCGGCAACCTCGATTTCGTAAGTTGTCTTTTTTCGTATTAAGAATTCTTACCGGTTATTGAGAAACCTCATATTTTATGGCCAAATACTAAGTGGTATTATAACTGGAAGTGAGAATATTCCACTAATAGGACAGGAGGATTGTGGCAATCAGTGGGAAACCTAGAAAAACACTTCAGTCGTATGTCTTTCCGGTGTTCTCATTTCTATCGTTAAGGTCTGTTATATGTAGAATGTGGTGGAAATTGTCGCGAAATCGAATCGTGTGCTGGAACGCGCGAATTTAATGCCCATACCCAATTCAATACATTTTCCTTCTGAAAATATCGACTTTTATAGAGCGACGACGAAATGGAACGAAGTCTCGAGGTAGAAATTGAAGCTCGAAACTGGACAACGTTCTGAAAAATCCTACGAACAAATCAAAATCTCGCCTCTTAAGTTTGTTCAGTATCAATTATCTTCGAAACCACGGCACTGGTATAGGAATAGTTGGGCAGAATTGTTTTTTACACGTGTATCAATATGCGATATGCTCGAAAACTGTTTATTTGTGTATGTGCTAGAAGGTTATGGATATTAAGTGCAAGTGTATCAACATGTATGCATGGTGTATTGCTAGTATAAGTATGTGTACGCTGGTGTACGTATGTACGTATGTACGTATGTATGTATGAATGTATGTATGTATATATGTATGTATGTATGTATGTATGTATGTATGTATGTATGTATGTATGTATGTATGTATGTATGTATGTATGTATGTATGTATTTATGTATGTATCTTGCCTTGTAACGGCGTGGTATCTATGTATATGTGTATGTGTGTGTGTGTTTGCGTATGCTGGATGAAAGCATTCTTCGTGTTCATGTCCTATCCGAAAAATTCCTCCGGCTAATTCATTCGGCGATTTGCAATCAGAGTGTGAACGAGAAGGTTCCATGGCTCTGGTGTTGCACCCCGCTGCTACGTTCTGTACCTCCCGCTGGTATCGCATGAGAGGAAACCCTCCATTTTAGTTCGCGACTGGTACACTAGGCCGAGCTGTTTCGTTTCTGTTCTCAATCATTACGCTTGATTCATCAACTGTGTAGTCCTAAAACGAATGACTGGATAAATAGCAGACAAGTCTTGTAACGGCGTGGATAGTCGGAAATTCTCAGCGATGTCTTCCGCACGTTGTTTCTGATTTCAAAGACTCCTATCTAAACTATTTAATCACAGCAATGGTAGTAATCACTTTTACGCGCATATTTTAAATTCAGGTGTCGACTTACCGAAGGTCGTTTTATTTTGAGCTCTCCATCGATGGCATTAAAATTTCTAAGATTCGGGCTCCGTTATTTGTAAATAACAGACCTTAAAAAATTGCTCTCGAATACTGAAACTTTTTATGCTACGGCCCTATCTCTGTTTGGGTATGGATAATGCTTGCCAGGCCGATTTCGGCTCAAGTTTAGGTACTTTGGGGACCACACTGTTTAGTTAACATATCCTTTTAAAAGTGATGCGTGTTACTTAGCACATCACTGTACTCCGGACCACACCTTTACCCGACCGGAGACTTTCACTGTTTGTAAACCACTTATTATTACTGCAGTTGAGACTTAGGAAAGTAGTAATTGCAAAGATAAGAAGGGTTCGGAAATGAAACAAGGTTATGCTCAATCGTCGTCAAACTGACCAATAGGGTTTACCGATTTTTCGTCCATATTTTTGAGCGAAAACAAAAAAATCGAAAGGCACCCAATGAACGGCCTAATCAAAATTTGATAAGAAACCATTTTGATCAAGTCGAACCGAGATGAGATCGTACGGTTTGGTATAATGCTAATCACCAGTGAGCCATTTTTTTCTGCAATACTAATAAAACATGTGAAAAAATCATATTGACAAAACCCATTGAGAATAGCGTATCGAGAAGGGGTCTTTGCGATTTATTGGTCATCTGAATTCCCACGCCATCGAAGCGATGCTCGAAAGTGGAACCATATCTACTTACTTGCCACTGAATGAGAGGAAAGAAATCCCAGCCAAAAATCCCAGTGGCACTCTCGTTTTCTGTACGCTCCCAGTACTGATTGCGGTATTTGACGGGATTCTGATACAGTCGGAGTTTTTCGTCCGTTTTCACACCAGCTTGCGTTCAGTGGCCAGTTTTACGACGTGTTTTTCGACGTGCATTAGTCTTGCGCATTGTCGCCCGCAATCTTCGTGTTTCACATCCGTCCTCTACATTACAGCGATCGTCTCTGTTTGTTCGATTGTTGCCGATGTGAAGAAGAAATAAATACGGCGAGTGATCAAATCAGATGACGACGACGACGATGATGATGATGATGATGATGATGATGATGATGATGATGATGATGATGATGATGATGATGATGATGATGATGATGATGATGACGACGATGATGATGATGATGATGACGATGATAATAATTATGAATTCGTCTTACTTTCTTGAGCCATCGTATGCTTCGACTATGAGTGTTCACTGTCCTGTAAACATCGTAAGATGCGTTAGGGTATGATCGTCGTCGTCAGCAAGTTACATGACTGAAGATCTCGTGCTCTCAAGCAAGTAAAAAGCTTTTTAAAAAGCCATTCGTTTTCCAAAAAACTGCTGCTAAGCCGTCATCGATTTTTCTATTACTGTAGAAAAAGGAAAACTGGTTACATTAGCGATAGTTGCCTATAAAAAACTTTGTATTCTTATATATCAGCACATTTTTCGCCGTTATAATTCAGAAACGTTTTCTGCTTTGGGAATGACTTACTGTTAACCGAAAGTGACTGTGTCATAATTTATTGATTGATCTCAGCCATATGTGATTAATATTCAATAGGAGCACTCGTTCATTCTACTACGGAGGTCACTTTCATCCACGTTATTGCCATCATTTCAATTCATTGAAGGAAAGAAAAATGACACTAATGGGCTGAGACAGTCAAATTGGCTCTGAAAGTGTAGGTAATAATGTTCTCTCTACCGTAATTTCTATTTTTGGTGGTATTTAGTTCAAACCATTACACGTATAAAATGTTCTTATAGATCTAAACATGTATCTCGATCGATCCATTACGTGTTTAAACAAGTTTGATCCTTATCGACAGAGTTTTTTGTCGTTCAACTATTTATATTGTAAAGAACACTTCTGAAACACCCTATTCGTGCATATCTTTGCCAGTGTACGATTTTTTGCTTAATGAAGTGGTCAGGTGCCGGAGGGCGCTGAGCCCTACCTTTGGCTTCACAATACCTGTGAGGTTAACCACGTTTATAAAAGCTCTGCTTTCCAATATCTTACCCCATTACGGCAAGTTCATACCTTTCAACAAAATTCGTTTCCTTTTGGCATTATTTGTCTTTTTGCGACCATTGACACATAAAAGTTATACGGACAATAAGATTTCCATATTGAAGATTTATACCTACACGGTTTCTGTTTCTCGTCAACGCATTCTGTCCTCGATTCCGCTGCTCCATTCATTAGGTTAATATTAAATTTTATTTTCTATTTTTTAACTTATTTTTAAATTAATTAATGTAAGCCACAAGTGTTAGGCTTTATTTTGCTTTACCCGATATCCCAGCACTTCCTGCATTCAATTCGTTTCCTCACATCCGTCACTAATGAAGGTGTTCGCGGTGTTCGGATTTTGCGTGTACGACCTATTACCACTACATGCACATTGTTCTTCTTCGTTACGAATGTCGTTGAATTCTCGTCGAGTTGTCTCCGTAGCATATTGGGTTCGCTGTGCTAGCTTGTTCCCAAATCTTCATTGCACTTTGTCTCTACTTTTTATGGATTCGAAGAAGTGTGTTGGTCCCAAACAGGTTTGGTAGCAATTTCTAGCATTCGTAGGCATGCGGACTTGGTTGACGTGTTCATTGAGAAAAAATTGAGGGGTGACAAAGCGATTTCTACTGAAATACTAGAATTATTTCCATTTCAGTTTTTATTTTACATGAACCGTCGTCGCACCTACTGTGCGGATCCCAGTACTTCCTGCATTCGATTCGTTTGCTCGCATGCATCGTCCACGAAGGTCTCCGAAAATTTCGCATGTTGTTTAGGCTCCTACTTGAGGATTTCTCGTAGAATGTTGGTCCAGTTCGTTTTCCTTATAATTTTGAAATTAACGAAGCTAAAGCATTCCCAGTTGAATTAGAGAACAGTGCTGAGAAGAAATCGAATCAGAATCTTACTTTCTTATGGAATGCAATGCAGTGCTAACCACTGAGCTACTTCCTCTCCCAGTCTAAATGCGCCCCACACGGATGTTCACAGTGGGTGGAAGGTGCTCGATTTCACAATTATCCACGATTCCTGGAACGACACCAGAAGATGCACAACTGAGTGCAAATTTTGGAAAGTTAAAGAATTTTGTTCGATAATTTTTTCACTTTTTTTATATGATCCGTCTTCCCGTCTACTGTGCAGATCCCAGCACTGCTCACATTCAGTTCACTTCCTCGCATCCATTGTCCACGAAGATCTTCCAACTTTTACGTATAGCTTCGGTTGCTACTTGCGGATTTTCATTTCATCTTGAATGCCGTAAAATGCTCATTGAATCCATTCTCATTGGACTCCTAAGATGGCCGAGGTTCCCAATTGTTTTTCCAGACAAGCTCGGCACCAATTTCCCGACCACGGGAGAATGAGAGGCTTAGTTGGTCTGGAGCGGAATTGAACTATCACCATGCTCGTTGTGACGGACATCACTACCATTGTGCTACCCTCTCTGTTTGATGATTTCCGAACGTTTATGGGAAAGAAGATTACATGTTTCAATTGTAACGAATTACTCCAAAAATTTCAAAGAATTTCGCACGGTTTTGTCAGTGTTCGCTCTTTTGGCATCATCTTTCAGTAATTTGAACGACGACGTTTTACCCCTCGATTACACCCCGATCGAGTTCAATTGAATTTACGATGTCACATTTAATCGCTGCCATCACGAAATGATGTAAAAGATTAGAAGAACTTGACGACAATATTTGTGAGTACTAATTTCGCTCAAATACGCGTTCCCATACATGAATCATTTCCTCTTCGCTGTGACAGTGCAGTGTGATATAATGAGAAAACTCACAGCGACAACACACTCTTCCCTCTTTGACCTCAGCAGATCAGGTGCTTACGAGGCTCTTCCTCAGTTTCTCGAAGAGTTTTATTTAATCTCGTTTTTCAACTTAAACGGCGCGTGTGGTGCAGTGGTCGGAGGCAGCCTGCAACACACACGTGGAACCGATCCGCGCGCCCATGGCCCACCAAGCCTTCCTTCCCCCCGGGGTTGGCAAATTGATATCAGACTTGTTTGGGAAGATAGCAGCACTGGCTCGATACATCGGTAGGCTATCGTGAGTCATTGTAAACACCAGATATGCATTCAATCACCTCCAGTGGTACTTAATGAAATTAACATACAATAGTTCCCAAGAGCGACTTTCTCTTAACCTCGGCATTGGAATATGAATGCGTCGTTTTCTTGTTCAGCAATCGCGAGGTTTTTAAACAACATACATTTACTTCCATTGAAAAACACAATACAATACAACGCTAGCTGACGTTTCGGCAGTATCGCCTTCTTCAGAGGCGTTTTTTCGTGACTTCCAATGAGAAAGGTTAGAACAGTTACAATAACATACAATATTTATTCTGAGACAATGTGGTAAACTAAAGGGCGAAACCGCCGAAACGTCAGCAATTGTGTTCTAATAAATTCTATATTAACAACCTCGTGTCTGCTTATTGATGAAAAACATTGAATTATCAATTAATGCCGAGGTTAACAGAAAGTCGGTCATGGGCATCTATCAGTGTTTGTACACACATTAGAAACAGTAATCATGCTTCTGCTTTAGTGATCTGATAATTTTGTTGCAGTTTAAATTCTCTTAAGTTTACCTCTACTTCTACCTCATCCGGGCTAGGTAATATAAGCTATTTAAGAGGGTCTTTTTCAATTTTTTTTCCTAAAATGTTGCTTTTAGCCTAGTCACCTTTCATTACTATTGGTTACTACAGATCACAGACAATTAGCAAAGCAAGCAACAAATAATCTTGTACGAAATGAAGTTTGTCCATTTAGAATTTTTTTAGTAGAGTCGAATACGCTTGTGGTGATGGTCAACGATAGTGCGAT